GAAAAAAAAGTCTGCCTTGATTAACCCATCCCCACCCTGGTCACAGACCTGGCCGCGGGGCGTTGACCCTCCGAAACCCTCATCAGTACGCTGTCAGTGGTCACGTGAGGTATACTCCCCATGGCAGAAATATTTAAGAATCGATAACTTGTTCACTAGTAGAATTTTATTGTGCTATTCCCACTTTATTTTTTTCACCATCGTTTATTAGAAAAAATTGGGGTGCAAAAATAAATTTCCCTGTGGTACATTTATACATATACTGGAATTTCAAGTAATTGTCGCGTGTATATTGCGGTATACTCTAAATTTTAATATTCATTAATACAATGAAACTTGACTCAATAATTACTTTAAAGATATTTTCCATTTCAATTATTTCCCACCAGCCAGTCACTAGGATGAAAAAAATAATATTTATTATATGGCCCAGACTTTGAACATGCTCTGAACTCTATAATCACAGACTATTTCCAATGTTATTCTCTGATTTGAGTCTAGCTGTAACATTATTATATAATAAATTACGTACAAATGTTTGAAACACTGCAATCATCAACTTCACTTTTGACTTAATTTGATTTTTTTTTACAGCTACGTTACACATACAAAAATGTGCCAACACTCTGAATGGTCTTTGACACATGTTGTATCTTGATTAGACAAGATTGACTCTTGTCCTCTCCTCCTCCTACCTAATTCGGTTGTTCCTTGGCTGTTATTATCATTTTAAGTCATGGAAAAGCGCTAAACTCGTAGGGGTCGTATAACGCCTGGGGAATGGGAGGTAGCTAATCCGGTTTATTTCGAGGAAGGGAAAGGTAGCTTTTATTCCTTAGATCAACTTTTTCTTATTTTTGAAGAGAGTTCCTTTGCTGTGACTGCTGAAAGTCAGCTCAACTCAGGCTAACGATCCTCAACATTTTAACAAATCAAAGCCAAAAATAGGTTATGAAGTCAAGTCAGATGCTTCCACTATAAATATAGCTATGCTTCATGAAACAGTACTAGCAATAGTTATTTTTCTCGTTCTCATAACTGGCATAAACAGACAAATTACAATGTCCTAACCATACCACGGGCGGGGATAGAACCCGCGATCAGACTCACAGACGATACTCGAATCTGAGTGCTGTTTATTATAATGGGGAGCGCTAAACCCGTAAGGATTATACAGCACCTGTGGGAGGGGGGGTGGAACCTATTTAGGCTCAATTCAGGGAACTGGACAGAGATCCAATTTCCTACACCAAGAGCTCCTCGCCAGCGTCAAGGAACCTCCTTTGAGGGGTATCTGAGTGGTATCCATCAAGGACACAGATGTTAACGGCGAAAATGAAAAGCTACTAAACTTTGAAAATTTGAGGACCTAACTGAAAGAATACAAAACACAATCAAACTACTGTACTATACAGTGTAAGAGGAATACGAAAGACCTGAGGATAACTATGCAAGGAAAATGTTAGGCTTAAAAACAAGAACGTTCATGAAATGCCAAGCCAATGATGATATTCTTTTAAGACATTTCTAACTTATACTCTTCATACTCGAATACTGCTATGCAGACATGACTAGCGTAGAGAAAATTCACTACTCACTTAAATTCAAACATTTAATTATTAGTAACGCATCAAATTCCTCAAACTGTACATCGTGGGAAGCAGGTAACACATTATTTACACCTGGAAAATACTCTAGGTGCTCGCTCCAAATAGGCCCACTGAAAAAAGGCAAGTGAAAATAAAGACGCCTGTAGCAGAGAATTTTTTTAATAGGATTTTAATAGATTTAATTCGAAACTATAATGAGTGAATTTCAATGTTTCCACTCCTACAGTTGATCTAATGATACTTTAGCTGAATCCAAAAATTACCTGTACTGGATTTTAAGGTTAAATATACTGGATTTTTAAGGTTACCTTTAGTGGATTTTAAGGTTACCTTCACTGGATTTTAAGGTTACCTTCACTGGATTTTAAGGTTACCTTCATTGGATTTTTAAGGCTACATTTACTGGATTTTTAAGGTAACATTTACTGGATTTTTAGGGTAACATTTACTGGATTTTTAAGGTAAAATTTACTGGATTTATAAGGTTACATTTACTGGATTTTTAAGGTTACATTTACTGAATTTTTAAGGTTACATTTGCTGGATTTTTAAAGTTATATTTATTGGATTTTTAAGGTTGCCTTTACTGGATTTTAAGGTTACCTTTACTGGGTTTTAAGGTTACCTTTACTGGATTTTAAGGTTACCTTTACTGGGTTTTAAGGTTACCTTTACTGGGTTTTAAAGTTACCTTTACTGGGTTTTAAAGTTACCTTTACTGGGTTTTAAAGTTACCTTTACTGGGTTTTAAAGTTACCTTTACTGGGTTTTAAAGTTACCTTTACTGGGTTTTAAAGTTACCTTTACTGGGTTTTAAGGTTTACTTTGATTAGATTTTAAGTTGGTATACCAGCAATGTACTGGTATATGATAAAATCTGTCATCCTGAGCTGGGGGTCTTCGGTTGGGCAATGAAGATGTCAGGTATTTGATTACTGGTTCATCTGCTACGCACCTTCAAATATATTTCGTACCAAGACAGAATTATTATATTTCATTTACTGTCACATGATGGCCTATCAAGGAATATACGTGAAAGGCAAGCAAATCCTTAATGAGGGGAATTACCAATAACCTGACTGTTCAAGCCGCCAAAGAAACCTGAACAAAAATCTGACCGCAGAGACGATTATTTCTAGAAGTAATGAAAAGGTATATAAAATTAAAGACTCGTGTACCTGGAAAGCACTGATCTTGTTTAACATAAAAAGTGCATTTTTGTGAATTCCTTAAGGGGGCGCTTAAGAGTATAATGAAATTTACGTCATTAACGAGATTCGAAAAGTATTAAATTTTTGTCATGTGTGTGTTTACAATTCATCAGAATCTTTGCAGAATCGCTCACGTTTAAATTTGTATGTATGTCAGGAAGGGGAAGGAAAGGAAGCGAGACCTTTTCTCTGGGGCACAAGAGTACGTGCGTGTGGGGTTCGAGGCTTCTGTTCAGTTTAATCCAAATGATGTACTGCTGACAAGAGAAGAAAAGATACGTTGCAGAACAAAATTTTGTTGTCAGTTCCGGAAAATTATACACATGGAAACGTCCCAATAAAATCTTGCTTTCATCATCTAGTCATTCATATCTCATCCACGACCATTTTCTGAGGCAAGAAAAAAACAAACTAGGCCACCAGATCCAAATAAGAGACAACACCAAAGTTTAATAACTATAAATTACGTATGCTATCACGAAAACGTTATCACACTAATATACTTACATGGACCCCACAAGAAAACAAAGGTTCTGCCATCTCATATGGTACCAATATCTGCTCTGCCCTGTTAATCTAGAAGTAAACAGATATCTAGGAATTAATCAACTGTTGAGTCGGATTACAGGAGAGACAACCCCAACAGAAATAAGTCACTGCTTGACTTTCTTGGGTTATTGTGATAGTCTGAGAGGTTCACAGACGGTGAAACAAAAGACTGATGGCAACACGTAGTTTAAGCCTGACAGACCTGAGATCGAGATCTTCCTGTGACTGAGGTCTCCCTATAAGACCGAGAGCTTCCTCTGGGATCAAGGGTCTAGACCTAATTGTAAAACAACCAATACATATACCATAAACACATCAACTGAGCGTATGAAGCTTCTACTTTCGCTAAACTTATTTTTTATTTTTCTCGAGACGAGACCTACGTGAAGCAAAACGCAAGGTAACATCTGTCCAATAATTGCTTCTGCTGAAGCCAAAATAGTTCGTTTATTCTTCTGGGCTTACGGAGCATAAGATGTGTATTCGTGTTTGCTTTCTTAGTAGTCTTGTATAGGAAGCTAATTCACAACTAATGCGCAAACTGGAATTGGAAACAAGACACCGTTGGTTTTAGATATTTTTGTCCCACTGATTAGGCTAATTTATCGGACAAGTCCTGCGTCGTCTTGTTTCCATTTCCATGTTTGAGTAACCTGTGAAATGCTCCAGCCAAGGTATTGCGAATTTTATGATTCATGGGAAGAAAAACTTGAGACTACTACTGGAAGCAGTCAGGGTTCACGAGTTCCTGCACATATTATCATTATATTCACGAAAAGCAACAAAGTTGTTGCGGTCAGTTAGCTCAAACCTTACACATACGTTTACCGACATTAAAGGCTCACCTATTAGTTTACTTGGTGTCAAATGAATAAAAAAGAACGCCTTTACTGAGCTCGAGTCATACCTGCGCCTGGCTTCGAGGGTTCTGCCCTAGTAGTCCGGCCTGATATTAGACTTATTGACTGCCTGGTCAAACAGGCTACTGCTGCTAGCGGCCCGAAGGCCTACATAGTCGTCACACTCTGATTCATAAGGCAATCGTAACAGGTAGTAGCTTCTTCACGCTTTGAAACGCATGCATTTTGAAGGGTGACGATGAGAATGGCATATATGGTGCGGTGTGAATGTCAGCGATAAAATATAACGCCAACTATTAATTATTTTAATAGTGTTAAAATTTTGTACACGTCATTGTAATTGTTTTACGGAAATAATGGTATACACATTCACACTGAATGACACGTAGTTTCATAATAAATAATCAATAACTAGTCTGTTGACTTGATATAGCTAAACACTTCTGTAAGTATGGCTACACTTATTGTTCTTGATCAAATCTATTATATACGCCACATCTCTATTTTAATTCTGTAAATAATTTTATATATTATTGTAACGCCAATTATTGCCAGACTGTTCAGATCCTGTCACCAGACTTGCGTAAATGTGTTTAATGCAATTCATATTCCTAAAGCACATGAAAAAATTTGTTGCCCAATACAGATGTTGTTTATTAGTGCAAGACAAAAAAAAAGTAGCTTATTTAATGTTGGAAATGATAAACAAATTGTTATACACACACACACACACACACATGGGATTGGAATCAACAATCTAGTGTTCATACTTAATAAAGAAGATCCGTCCGTCTCGAGTGACAGCGAAGCTCCAGGGATGAGGGAGGTCCTTCTGCAGATCAGCGGCCATAGTCCTTCACCCCTTGCTATACACGCAGTCTTACACTGCAGGCTTCTTCCCACTGCAGTTTCTCTACAGTGCAGTGTCTACGAACTGCGGTGCTTCACTACAAGAAACTCGTTTCATTACCAAGAGTCTTCCCACGTGGCACTCCAGCGCATTCGTACGCAGCAATTATCTCGACACTCACCTGTAGCAATACTAAGTACTTGGGTCTTCTTGTTATTCCAAAGTTCGTTGTTATTGCACATGTGCCCGGCGCTAGTTACCTACCCGACACTTGTTATGCAACTGACACTAGCTATACACCTGACACACATTAATTTCTGTTATTTTCAAAATTCTATTTATCTTTTCTTATCAAAACCTAAGACACTCGTCACTTAATGCGGGGATCACATCAAATTTTCTTACAATCAGAAATCTTGACAACTCTTACCGAAATGTGCTTTTCGAACTATTACCTATTTTCAATCGCTGACATTTCTTTAACCACTATTACACTCGAAACCCCTCACAGCCAGCCCCAACTTGTGGTCGCCTCGTGACCTCCAGTACACACATGGAAGCCAGATAACACATTTTGCGTGTACGATGCACCAAACAGGCCATAGCACTCTTATGACACTCCACCTCTGAGATGAGATGCTTACCTTCCTTCATGCAATTCTTACCACAGACACCCCTCATTCATGGACTACAAGCATCATCCACCAACATTACACTTCATCACCACACAGAAAGTAGTGTTACACCTCATTATAGCAACAGGTGGGCAGTAGCAAGAAGCGTGTGTGATGCCCACCTTGAGACTCGGGAGCTACTATGGCCAGGTACACCATAACGTGTGAGCTTTGAAGGACACTCTGGCACGTACGATAATTCTCGTTTTCTTAGCATATCATTTGCATGCCGTAAAACGTTTAGTATATATAGTATATTCAAAGAATATATTTAAACAAATTTCACCAGTCACTTATACGCATATATGTAAATACAGCTTTAATATTTCACTGTATGAAATATTATTTAACTTCCGAGACCCAATAGTCAAGCAACGATAGAAACAAAAATTTAAAACGATGTACACGAACTAAATAAAACCAAGAAACTATATATGCAAATAGCCCTCATAAAGTTTAAAAGAAGCTTTACTAAGAGTTCTGTTTAATTTAGCATTGATATAACTGATGGCAGATGAAGTACATGGCATCTGAAGCAGGCAGGAGGTGGTGGGGGTGTACCCGGGGGAGTGGCCGGGCAGCCTCTTCCCTCGTCTTATCCCATCAACTACCATAGCATTGACTCTCAGTAACAGAACAATTCGATGACAACTGCGGCAGAAATTTACAACGGCAGTGCAAGCAACGATGTGCGATTTTTGTTCCCGAATGAAGAAAAAAAACACCCTGATCTCATTAAGAGGTTCCCAGATAGCCAGGACGACATCCTACCCCTCTACGATTTAACCGTTTACTGAGAAATACCCATCGGCTCGTGTCCTGGGCAGGTGTTTTTTTTTTTCCTTGTGCAGGCACGGCAATATTAATCTCCAGCACACCTACCAGAGAAATTACCCGCCCTGACATATACGTTTCCTAATATTTAACACCAAACCGACAATCGCGAATTTAAAATGCCCGCCAACGATGCCACAGCATTTGGTGTAGATTTGTTGTCGGTTACAAGATTAATATCAAAAATCGTGGGATAGTATTGCACGGTCACTATTCGTTACAAATATGGAGATATAAAATGGATTATTTTAACGACAAGCCTGTCAAGTAATTTACGCGGGAGAAGTTATAGAAATATTTTCTGTGATAATTGCTGTACTTGTAGCGCAGCAAAACCTGGATGTGGTACGATCGGGCAGGGCAGGGCAGGGCAGGGCAGGGCAGGGCAAGGTAGGGCCTCACGAAGGTAGGTGAACAGTAAGATCAACACTACCAATCTTCTGCCATTGTATATATACACAAGCACTATTGTTTTTCATACATGAAAGCTGATAAGTTTACTGAGGTACCTAAAGTCAGTGCCTAATCAGCCGGACTGTGGTTCGTATGCTGGTTTACGTGCGGCCTACAGTAACAGTCTGGTTGATCAGGCCCTGATCCACCACGAGGCCTGGTCACAGACCGGGCAGCGGGAGGGATGACCCCCGAAACCCTCATACACAAGTGCAATTGTCATACATAGTTTAACGTGTATGTTACTTATGATAACCTCAAAAAAATTCAAACAGGGCCTTATTTCCATTATAGTCCTTACATGATGTTATTCGCTTATAAAGTATATCCTTCAATGGGGATATCTTGAGTGTTGATGAATGGCAATTGATTAAAGAAATTGAGGATATTTTTTTGAATCAAACCTGAATACCATCCATTACCATTGCTGTATGATCGTTGCTATTTTTGCGCTGCCCCATGATTATAATAATAACTTAAAATACAGACCCATGAAAAAATGAATTTTCGATTACTATGATCAAAATTGCAAGTGAAGGATAGAAACGCTCCAGGGTGACCTGACTACGCTAAAATATTTTGTAAGAAACTGCTTTTTGGTGTTTAATCCGAGGAAATGCAAGATACCGAGTATTGGAGGAGAAAGAAGACTAGAATCAAATTGTAGCCTGGAGTAGGGTAAAAGAATCTAATGAAATTAAAGAAATAAAAGAACTTTACAGCATCACGACAAACTGTAAAAAAAGAAAAGACGCTACCTACGCCATATTGAGATCCATCAAGGAATGTGCCGCCCCAGCTTGGAACGCTCATTTATTCTGCATATTAAAAAGAGTAGAAAAGGTCCAAAAGTTTGCAACAAAATTAGTCCCGAAATTAGTCCCGATACATAATAATAATAGTAATATCTTCATTTCTACAAGTACATATAGAAGGTATACAGGCCTAGCTGACATCAATGACACACTACTGTATAGAAAGCCGCTTATTATGCTGAGCATTTCGGGAAAATTAGGTCATTTTGTCCCAGGATGCGACCCACACCAGTCAACAAAACAACCAGATTCGAGGAACTTTAACTGACGACTCTGGAGAAGAGGGACACATGATTAGTACATAAAAAAAAAATCCTAAGAATGGGCAGGAGCGAGATAAGTTAGATGGGACCAAGGACAAGGGTCCACAGATGAAAGGTAAACAGGCAACTGAGCCATAGGAACGTTTAGAAAACATTTTTTTTTTTTCCTTTGTTTTGTGGGTGAAACGGTCTAGTTGAGGAAGCGGAGTAAGCAGTGGTCATTCAAAGAGTAGCGCCAGGAGACTAGAATGTAATTGATGTATGTTAAGACAACCCAGGACATTGCCAGAACTGTGTCTACGTCTCGAACAGAACTAGACGAGTGCGCCTCCCTCACCCCCCCCCTTCTCTCTCACTTGGTGAATCCGTATGCGAAGTCACGAGAGTCATTATTAACAAAAGGATATTTAAAACAGGTAGTAGGTTGGTAGACAGCAACCACCCAGGAAGTACTACCGTCCTGCCAGATGACTGTGCACAGAAACCTGTAACTGTTTTTGCATGATGGTAGGATTACTGGTTTCTTTTTCTGTCTCATAAACACGGTAGATAACAGGGATATCTTGCTACTCCTACTTACACTTTGGTCACACTTCACAGACACCACATGCATATATATATATATATTTTATATATATATAATATATATATAAAATATATCTAGGTTTTTTCTCCTTTTTCTAAATAGCTCTTGTTCTTCTTTATTTCTATTGTCCATGGGGAAGTGGAAAAGAATCTTTCCTCCGTAAGCCATGCGTGTCGTATGAGGCGACTAAAATGTCGGGAGCAATGGGCTAGTAACCCCTTCTCCTGTAGACATTTACTAAAAAAGAGAAGAAAAACTTTATAAAACTGGGATGCTTGAATGTGCGTGGATGTAGTGCGGATGACAAGAAACAGATGATTGCTGATGTTATGAATGAAAAGAAGTTGGATGTCCTGGCCCTAAACAAAACAAAGCTGAAGGGGGTAGGGGAGTTTCAGTGGGGGGAAATAAAGGGATTAAATCAGGAGTATCTGAGAGAGTTAGAGCAAAGGAAGGGGCAGCAGTAATGTTGAAGGATCAGTTATGGAAGGAGAAAAGAGAATATGAATGTGTAAATTCAAGAATTATGTGGATTAAAGTAAAGGTTGGATGCGAAAAGTGGGCCATAATAAACGTGTATGCACCTGGAGAAGAGAGGAATGCAGAGGAGAGAGAGAGATTTTGGGAGATGTTAAGTGAATGTATAGGAGCCTTTGAACCAAGTGAGAGAGTAATTGTGGTAGGGGACCTGAATGCTAAAGTAGGAGAAACTAGGGTGTGGTAGGTAAGTTTGGGGTGCTAGGTGTAAATGATAATGGGAGCCCTTTGATTGAACTTTGTATAGAAAGGGGTTTAGTTATAGGTAATACATATTTTAAGAAAAAGAGGATATATAAGTATACAAGATATGATGTAGGGCGAAATGACAGTAGTTTGTTGGATTATGTATTGGTAGATAAAAGACTGTTGAATAGACTTCAGGATGTACATGTTTTTTAGAGGGGCCACAGATATATCAGATCACTTTCTAGTTGTAGCTACACTGAGAGTAAAAGGTAGATGGGATACAAGGAGAATAGAAGCATCAGGGAAGAGAGAGGTGAAGGTTTATAAACTAAAAGAGGAGGCAGTTAGGGTAAGATATAAACAGCTATTGGAGGATAGATGGGCTAATGAGAGCATAGGCAATGGGGTCGAAAGGTATGGGGTAGGTTTAAAAATGTAGTGTTAGAGTGTTCAGCAGAAGTTTGTGGTTACAGGGAAAGTGGGTGCGGGAGGGGAAAAGGAGCGATTGGTGGAATGATGATGTAAAGAGAGTAGTAAGGGGGAAAAAGTTAGCATATGAGAAGTTTTTACAAAGTAGAAGTGATGCAAGGAGGGAAGAGTATATGGTGAAAGGGAAAAGTAAAGAGAGTGTGAAGCAATGTAAAAAGAGAGCAAATGAGAGAGTGGGTGAGATGTTATCAACAAATTTTTGTTGAAAATAAGAAAAAGTTTTTTGGGGTGAGATAACAAGTTAAGGAAGCCTAGAGAACAAATGGATTTGTCAGTTAAAAATAGGAGAGGAGAGTTATTAAATGGGGAGTTAGAGGTATTGGGAAGATGGAGGGAATATTTTGAGGAACTGTTAAATGTTGATGAAGATAGGGAAGCTGTGATTTCCCTGTATAGGGCAAGGAGGAATAACATCTTGTAGGAGTGAGGAAGAGCCAGTTGTGAGTGTGGGGGAAGTTCGTGAGGCAGTAGGAAAAAATGAAAGGGGGTAAGGCAGCCGGGATTGGGGGGATAAAGAAGAAATTTTAAAACCCGGGGGGGGGAAAAAATTTTGGGTGGTTGGTGAAAATTTTTTAAAAAAAGTATGGAAGGGGGGTAAGGTACCGGGGTTGGCAGAGAGCCTGCATGTTCCTTTGTATAAAGGAAAAGGGGGACAAAAAAATGCAAAAAATTAAAGGGGGAAAAAAAGTCTTTGATTTATACCGGAAAAGTGTTTTGGTAGATTTTTAAATTGAAAGAATTAAGAGTAGGGGGGGGGAAAATAGGATAGCAGATGAACAAGGGGGGCTTTAGAAAAGGTGGGGGTGTGTGGACCAGGTGTTTCAGGGGGAAAAAAATAAGGGGAAAAAAGTATTAAAATAAGGCTAAAGAGGTTTTTGTGGCTTTTTATGGATTTGGAAAACGAAATACAGGGGGGAAAAGGGGGGGCAATGGGCAAAATGTTTTTTTGGGTGTAGGGTTTAC